TAAGCAGGTGGATGTTAAACTACTCATCATAACACATGTCAGCGCCAGGTACAAACCTCTATCTGCAGAACTTAAGGTCAGTACTACACATCATAAAACAAGGCACATCCATTCATTCACTTGATAATATCTACTACTTGCTTTATTTTTAGTATTTGATTTTTCCCCCAAAACAATAAAACCAGGTGAAGGGACATTTATTTTTGTGTTTCAAAAATAATATAAGTATTATTCTACAAGATAAAGGGCCCGTTGAGGTAGAAATAAGACGGGCTCTAGCTAGTTGTCCTTTTGTCTGAACCGAAAACAAAATCATCACCTCAACTTCAAATTTACCCCCCCCCGTAACGACATAATTTCAAGTGCCTCCCTTCCCCTCTGGGGTGAAAAAAAGTGAAAGAAACATTTGGTGCATTGGTAGATCATACAGAGTAAAGCTAGACCCTTCTTTTATAATCTAGACCCATTGCCTACTTTTGGCCCCAATCTAGCAAACAGTGTTTCTCTCAGACATTTTTTCGGAGGTGGGGCACTTGAAATTTTTGCAGGGTGAATAAATTTCTCTGGGACAGGGGCCGGCACTGGTAAATAAAAGTATGTATTTCCTATATAAATTATATTTTGAAGGGGGGAGGGGGAGTTTTGCCCCTACCCATAGAGATACCTGAAAGAAATTTTGCACGTAAACCTCTTTTAAAATTAGACAAATGAATTAGGCGGTAATGTCAGTGTTTTTATTATCAAATATCGAAGCCGTCATTATTATTGTGTATTTTTTTTTTGGACAATGGCTTTTTAATTGTATGTTTACTCTAGAATCAATGATGTCATATTATAGTGTGTACTTTTCCAGCTTTAGAGTATTTCCTACTATATGTTCTAAGTGCAGTCATATTTTGCTTTCCGTTTGATTGTAGAAATTTTTACTTTCCTTGTATTTTTTATAGCGTTCCCAACAGATAGTTAGATAGATAGAGTAACAGAATAGCGAAACTTTTATTATAGATAGTTGAACACAGCATATATGGTAAGGTCACCTATATATTGCACAATTTAATTTAATTAACAGCTGTTTAAATCTGTACATTTTATATGTTGGTCACATTTTTATTTTTGATACTCCCCTCTCGGTATTAATGTCATAAATGAATGACCAACATTGTAAATTGCGCTCATGTCATCGCTAAATAAAAATCATTTGCTAGTCATACTTTTGAATTCTTTAGAATACTGTAATTTTAGCATGGTGACTAGAGTGCTAAAATACTTGTTGATGTAATTTCAGGATGGTGACTAGAGTGCTAAAATACTTGTTGATGTAATTTCAGGATGGTGACCAGAGTGCTAAAATACTTGTTGATTTAATTTCAGGATGGTGACCAGAGTGCTAAAAAAATTCATAAAAAACGTTTTAATAACAAGCTTTTATGTAATGATGCACTAAAAAGTAGAAAATAAATTATAGACTACTATTTAAATAACTATAAAGAAAAGCGTGGGTCACTTTAGTATCTATTGGATACCTTTACTTATGTTAAGGAAGACACCCACGCTTTTCTTTATAGTTATTTAAATAGTAGTCTATAATTTATTTTCTACTTTTTAGTGCATCATTACATAAAAGCTTGTTATTAAAACGTTTTTTATGAATTTTTTTTTCAGTACTTTACATGTTTTATTTACAATAGAGTTACATGACTAAAAACCATTGCGCGCCTACTGAACATCACGTTCAGTAGGCGCGCAATGGTTTTTGAACGCAGCCATTACGTGATGGCGCAGCTATTGAAGGTGATGACGCGTGTGGTGTGGTTGGCTACACATGCCTACTAATTCGGTCCAAATTTTAATTAATTCATAAAAAATTAATTAGGCATCCAATTAAGTCAAATTTAGTTTCAGATTGCATTGTCTTCATGTCTTGACCCACGTGTCAAATGTGAATCGTATCGGTCAAGTAGAACTGTCCGAATTTTCACTCCTGCGTTTCCGTCTAGACAGACAGACTGACGAGGAAGTGAGTTAAATAAAAGCTTGTAAAAAAATTCATAAAAAACGTTTTAATAACAAGCTTTTATGTAATAATGCACTAAAAAGTAGAAAATAAATTATAGACTACTATTTAAATAACTATAAAGAAAAGCGTGGGTCACTTTAGTATCTATTGGATACCTTTACTAATGTTAAGGAAGATACCCACGCTTTTCTTTATAGTTATTTAAATAGTAGTCTATAATTTATTTTCTACTTTTTAGTGCATTATTACATAAAAGCTTGTTATTAAAACGTTTTTTATGAATTTTTTTTCAGTACTTTACATGTTTTATTTACAATAGAGTTACATGACTAAAAACCATTGCGCGCCTACTGAACATCACGTTCAGTAGGCGCGCAATGGTTTTTGAACGCAGCCATTGAAGCTATTGAAGGTGATGACGCGTGTGGTGTAGTTGGCTAGACATGCCTACTAATTCGGTCCAAATTTTAATTAATTCATAAAAAATTAATTAGGCATCCAATTAAGTCAAATTTAGTTTCAGATTGCATTGTCTTCATGTCTTGACCCACGTGCTAACTTTGAATCGTATCGGTCAAGTAGAACTGTCCGAATTTTCACTCCTGCGTTTCCGTCTAGACTGACGACTGACGACTGACGACAGAGGAAGTGAGTTAAATAAAAGCTTGTAAAAATACTTGTTGATGTAATTTTAGGACAGTGACCAGAGTGCTAAAATACTTGTTGATGTAATTTCAGGATAATAAATAGAGTGCTAAAATACTTGTTGATGTAATTTCAGGATAATGTCTAGAGTGCTAAAATACTTGTTGATGTAATTTCAGGATGGTGACCAGAGTGCTAAAATACTTGTTGATGTAATTTCAGGATAATGATAAGAGGGCTAAAGTACTTGTTGATGTAATTTCAGGATGGTGACCAGAGTGCTAAAATACTGGTTGATGTAATTTCAGGATGGTGACCAGAGTGCTAAAATACTTGTTGATGTAATTTCAGGATGGTGACCAGAGTGCTAAAATACTTGTTGATGTAATTTCAGGATGGTGACCAGAGTGCTAAAATACTTGTTGAGGTAATTGCAGGATGGTGAGAAGAGTGCCAAAATACTTGTTGATGTAATTTCAGGATGGTGACCAGAGTGCTAAAATACTTGTTGATGTAATTTCAGGATAATAAATAGAGTGCTAAAATACTTGTTGATGAAATTTCAGGATAATGACTAGAGTGCTAAAATACTTGTTGATGTAATTTCAGGATGGTGACCAGAGTGCTAAAATACTTGTTGATGTAATTTCAGGATAATAAATAGAGTGCTAAAATACTTGTTGATGTAATTTCAGGATAATGACTAGAGTGCTAAAATACTTGTTGATGTAATTTCAGGATGGTGACCAGAGTGCTAAAATACTTGTTGATGTAATTTCAGGATGGTGACAAGAGTGCTAAAACACTTGTTGAGGTAATTGCAAGATGGTGAGAAGAGTGCCAAAATACTTGTTGATGTAATTTCATGTTGGTGACCAGAGTGCTAAAATACTTGTTGATGTAATTTCAGGATAATGACCAGAGTGCTAAAATTGTTGATGTAATTTCAGGATGTTGACAAGAGTGCTAAAATACTTGTTGATGTAATTTCAGGATGTTGACAAGAGTGCTAAAATACTTGTTGATGTAATTTCAGGATGGTGACAAGAGTGCTAAAATACTTGTTGAGGTAATTGCAGGATGGTGAGAAGAGTGCCAAAATACTTGTTGATGTAATTTCATGTTGGTGACTAGAGTGCTAAAATACTTGTTGATGTAATTTCAGGATAATGATTAGAGTGCTAAAATACTTGTTGATGTAATTTCAGGATGGTGACAAGAGTGCTAAAACACTTGTTGAGGTAATTGCAGGATGGTGAGAAGAGTGCCAAAATACTTGTTGATGTAATTTCAGGTTGGTGACCAGAGTGCTAAAATACTTGTTGATGTAATTTCAGGACAATGACTAGAGTGCTAAAATTGTTGATGTAATTTCAGGATGGTGACCAGAGTGCTAAAATACTTGTTGATGTAATTTCAGGTTGGTGACAAGAGTGCCAAAATACTTGTTGAGGTAATTGCAGGATGGTGAGAAGAGTGCCAAAATACTTGTTGATGTAATTTCATGTTGGTGACCAGAGTGCTAAAATACTTGTTGATGTAATTTCAGGATAATGACCAGAGTGCTAAAATTGTTGATGTAATTTCAGGATGTTGACAAGAGTGCTAAAATACTTGTTGATGTAATTTCAGGATGGTGACAAGAGTGCTAAAATACTTGTTGAGGTAATTGCAGGATGGTGAGAAGAGTGCCAAAATACTTGTTGATGTAATTTCAGGTTGGTGACTAGAGTGCTAAAATACTTGTTGATGTAATTTCAGGATAATGAATAGAGTGCTAAAATACTTGTTGATGTAATTTCAGGATAATGAATAGAGTGCTAAAATACTTGTTGATGTAATTTCAGGATGGTGACCAGAGTGCTAAAATACTTGTTGATGTAATTTCAGGATAATGACCAGAGTGCTAAAATACTTGTTGATGTAATTTCAGGATGGTGACCGGAGTGCTAAAATACTGGTTGATGAAGCTTGTGAGATGTTTGAAGATGTTCTGCTTGCTGAAGACTGTCTGGTGTACAGACTACCCCCTTCAGATCAGGCCTTACACAGAAATGTCGACCCAACATGATCTAAATTATATAACTATTTAACTGACTGTAAATAAATCAGTTTTAGTTTCCACATGAAAAGGTAGTTCATACTCCTGTTTTCAAGTTACAAGTTGTTACATTGTAAAAATGAAATTGGTAAGCTTTGCAATCCATTTGCATTTATAATTCTATTTTTGCGTTACAATATCTGTTTTAGGAGTATTTTATAACTTATTGGAACGTTATTAATGGTGAAAAATTTTACTTTTAAAATCTGACACTCAAAAATGCTTAAGACACATGTAAATTTTAGACTTTTATTCTTAAAACAACATTAAGATTTAATTGCATCCAGCATTTTCTGGCCCAGTAGCAGCTGTCTTCCCATCAGGACAGCAACCATACCTGGTACCCTTACATCCACCAATCAAGCAATTTTTGCCATTTTCACCAGCAGCTGTCTTCCCATCAGGACAGCAACCATACCTGGTACCAGCACATCCACCAATCAAGCAATTTTTGCCATTTTCACCAGCAGCTGTCTTCCCATCAGGACAGCAACCATATCTGGTACCCTTACATCCACCAATCAAGCAATTTTTGCCATTTTCACCAGCAGCTGTCTTCCCATCAGGACAGCAACCATACCTGGTACCAGCACATCCACCAATCAAGCAATTTTTGCCATTTTCACCAGCAGCTGTCTTCCCATCAGGACAGCAACCATATCTGGTACCCTTACATCCACCAATCAAGCAATTTTTGCCATTTTCACCAGCAGCTGTCTTCCCATCAGGACAGCAACCATACCTTGTATCAGCGCATCCACCAATCAAGCAATTTTTGCTATTTTCATCAGCAGCCGTCTTTCCATCAGGACAGCAACCATACCTGGTACCCTTACATCCACCAACTTTAATGTTAGGGCAGCCTTTATTATTTTGCCCTCTTGCAGATGTTTTCCCATCAGGACAGCAGCCATATCGTGTTCCTCTGCAGCCACCCAGCAGTTGGATTGGACAACCTGCCTGGTTAGGTCCTGTTGCTGGTGTCACATTATCTGAACAACATCCATAGGCTGTCCCAGCACATCCACCAGGTGGTGGAGGGCAGCCTTGCTGGTCAGGCCCTAGAGCAGCTGTTGTAGAATCTGGACAACAACCATGTTGTGTTCCAGCACATCCACCAACCACTAATCAATGATAGAAAAAAATCACTTGTTTACAAAATTATGTCATGGTTTTTATTTTTTACTTTCTCGTATATACGAAGTATACAGAAAGTCTTGAAATCATGCAAAAAAAAAAATCGAGATTTTTACAAATCTCGACGTTTTACACCTCACTGATACGGAAAAAAATAATTTTTAAATCTTTTCCGTATGTCTATGTGTCTGTCTGTGTGTAAACACGATAACTTGAGTACCGTTACAGCTAGGTTGATGAAATTTCATATATAAGTATTTTGAGCGATTTCCGATAAACGGAAGCGGTACTTTTTCTACTTTGAATTTTTCAAAAGCCTATAACTTGAGTACTGTTTCAGATAGATCAATGAAATTTCACATGTAGGTAAAACATCTAATTCTCTACCTTCTGTTGACCGGAAGTACTAATTTATGCTATTTCCGATTTTTCAAAAAACGAATGTAAATTTAAAAAGTACTAATAATATTGCGCACTATTATGCACATTTTGTTTTGGCGTTCGCTTGGTGCGCAATTCTTTTTTCTACGAGATTCTATTCTATTTTTAAAAGTTTAAGTAATTAAAAATCATGTCTATATTCCGAGTTATATAAGAATATTCGAGAAAGTTTAGGGGAGATCACTCCCGGTTTATTTTTTTTAGATTTCACACACACATATGTTCACACTCACTTACGTCTATTTAAATAAATGTATACATGTATGAAAACATACATCTATAGGTCTGTATGTGTAAATATGCATTCAGATATAACTAGATAATGAGATAATTGTTTAGTGCCAGCATTGAGTAGTCTAGGCTGAAATTGGTCTAAGTTGTTATTTAAAAAGTTAAGAAATGAGCAGCTACCATTGGTTAAATGACTTACTCATTTCTTGCTCCGCCACAGTGACCCCAATAAAAAGAACAAGAGCAAGGTGGAACATCATTTTTATCTGATCAGTGACTACTAGTGCTAGTGTTAATTCTGTAAAAATACACATGGTAAAATATATCAACACTTGAGTAAGAGAAACATTGAGACATATGGATACTAAAGAGGAGTAGATGTTGATCACCAGATGAAGTCCTGTCAAATGGTATAGATTTGTTATTATAGGACTACCAAATATAGGAACTGTGTGTAAGCTAGTAGAAATTTGAAACATTGAAGTAATTGAACAAACATGACACTAATACTATTTATACTGGAGTCAAAGTTTTAAAATAATTAATTTTTCAGAAGACAGTTGTAGGTATTCATTAGCTGGCAGTTCATAGTTGAATTCTTTGTAGACAGTAATTGCTGGTAGTGGTAGTAAATAAGAATGGCTAGCTGGGTCAAGTTTGAGTGAGACTAAACTTACCTGGGCCAAGTTTGAGTGAGAGAGACAAAACTTACCTGGGCCAAGTTCGAGTGAGACAAAACTTACCTGGGCCAAGTTTGAGTGTGACAAAACTTACCTGGGCCAAGTTTGAGTGAGACAAAACTTACCTGGGCCAAGTTTGAGTGAAACAAAACTTACCTGAGCCAAGTTTGAGTGAAACAAAACTTATCTGGGCCAAGTCTGAGTGAGTGAGACAAAACTTACCTGGGCCAAGTTTGAGTGAGTGAGACAAACCTTACCTGGGCCAAGTTTGAGTGAAACAAAACTTACCTGGGCCAAGTTTGAGTGAGTGAAACAAAACTTACCTAGGCCAAGTTTGATTGAGACAAAAATTACCTGGGCCAAGTTTGAGTGAGACAAAACTTATTTGGGCCAAGTTTGAGTGAGTGAAACAAAACTTACCTAGGCCAAGTTTGATTGAGACAAAAATTACCTGGGCCAAGTTTGAGTGAGACAAAACTTATCTGGGCCAAGTTTGAGTGAAACAAAACTTATCTGGGCCAAGTTTGAGTGAAACAAAACTTATCTGGGCCAAGTTTGAGTGAGTGAAACAAAACTTACCTGGGCCAAGTTTGAGTGAAACAAAACTTACCTGGGCCAAGTTTGAGTGAGACAAAAATTCCCTGGACTCTAAGTTTCAGTAAATTCAGTAGAACTACACTAGAAGATTAGTACTTTATAGATGAGTTAATGAGCTTTTAATGATGTTATACCACCATGATCACTAATGAAACTTCATTAGATCAAAGGTTAGTGGAGTATAATTATTCTAGTGTTTAAATAAACTTGTTGAAACCTACATGGTACATTAGACATATGTTTTCCTTGTTTTGCATATTAAAAGTGTGAACCTAATCTATTGCCTACTAATGACTCTAGGCCTAGGTGAAAGAACTTGTGTAGGTGAACATAGATCGTAAGTGTACGAGGATGGTCTGGTCTAGTGTACAAGTATGGTCTGGTCTAGTGTACTAGTATGGTCTGGTCTAGTAAACTAGGTTGGTCTAGTCTAGTGTACTAGAATGGTCTGGTCTAGTGTACTAGTTTGGTCTGATCTAGTGTACTAGGATGGTCTAGTCTAGTGTACTGTGATGGTCTGTTCTACTAGGATGGTCTAGTCTAGTGTACTATGATGGTCTGGTCTAGTGTACTTGGGTGGTCTGGTCTAGTATACTATGGTGGGCTGGTCTAGTGTACTAGGATGGTCTGGTCTAGTGTACGAGGTTGGTCTGGTTTAGTGTACTAGGATGGTCTAGTCTGGTGTACTAGGATGGTCTGATCTAGTATACTAGGGTGGTCTGGTCTAGTGTACTAGGATGGTCTGGTCTAGTGCACTAGGATGGTTTGTTCTATTAGGATGGTCTAGTCTAGTGTACAAGGTTTATCTAGTCTAGTGTACTATGATGGTCTGGTCTAGTGTACTAGGATGGTCGTGTCTAGTATACGAGGATGGTCTAGTCTAGTGTACTGGGATGGTCTGGTCTAGTGTACAATGTGGGACTGGTCTAGTGTAATAGGATGGTCTGGTCTAGTGTACTTGGATTGTCTGGTCTAGTGTACGAAGATGGTCTAGTCTAGTGTACTAGTTTGGTCTGGTCTAGTGTACTTGGTTGGTCTAATATAGTGTACTGGGTTGGTCTGTTCTACTAGGATGGTCTGGTCTAGTGTACTAGGATGGTCTAGTCTAGTAAACTACGATGGTCTGGTCTAGTGTACTAGGATGGTCGTGTCTAGTATACGAGGATGGTCTAGTCTAGTGTACTGGGATGGTCTAGTCTAGTGTACTAGAATGGTCTGATCTAGTGTACTATGATGGTCTAGTCTAGTGTACTAGTTTGGTCTGGTCTAGTGTACTAGTTTGGTCTGGTCTAGTGTACTAGTTTGGTCTGGTCTAGTGTACTATGATGGTCTGATCTAGTATACTAGGATTGTCTGGTTTAGTGTACGAGAATAGTCTGGTGTAGTGTACTTGGATTGTCTGGTCTAGTGTACTAAGATGGTCTAGTCTAGTGTACTAGTTTGGTCTGGTCTAGTGTATTAGTTTGGTCAGGTCTAGTGTACTAGGATGGTCTGGTCTAGTGTACTGTAATGGTCTGGTGCAGGGGCGTAGCGAGGGGGGGGGGCGGGGGGGGCGGACCGCACCGGCTGACACCATTTAGGGGGTGACACCAAGGCAAAAAATAGCAAAATATATAGAGAAAAACTTGAGGGTAGGGGGGGGGGGGTGCAAATCGAAAGTTTGAGGAGGGGTGCAAATCGAAAGCTTGAGGGGGGAATGGAAATCGAAAGCTTGAGGGGGGGGGGTGCAAATTGAAAACTTGAAAGTTTCTCCCCGGGAAGGGTCGCTACGCCTCTGGGGGGGGGGGGGGGGGGGGTGACACCATTAAGTGCCGCACCGTGTGACACCCGACCTCGCTACACCACTGGTCTGGTGTAGTGTTGCTAAAGTGTCGTCAATAAATTTCGTTACACTGGTGCGGTGGGGGGGGGGGGTGTCCGTAACTTTGTGACGGTGTGTGATGAGGGGAGGTGGGGTGTGTTCATTATAAACAAACAATGTTATAAAATCAGTTTTAACCGTTATTCCGCATTTTAGAAAACTGTTTTAATACGCTGCAACAGGAATTGTTAAAACATTCTATGGTGACAGAGTTCAGACAAGATTTTGGACAATATCTTATTTTATGGAAAGTTGAACTGCAATTTTGAGGGGGTTTGTAGGCTGAGGTGTGACGTCATTTTTTGGGGGGAGGGTTGCTTTTCGTGACGATGTGTGACGGAGGGGAGGAGGTAAAAATCGTCAAAAAGAGTGACGTCATTTATGGATGACCCCTTAGTTTTTAGCAACCTTTTACCCACCACCGATCATTTTACAAAATAGGAAAGTCTGACGAAATAGCTTTTTCAGTTTTTTATTCTTAGAATTAAAATTGCAACAATGTTTTGGTCAGCTAGCTTTTTTTAATATTGACCATAACCATCTTACTCTTTAATGTCAAACACTCTTGCAATTTTTGTTATTTTTTCCAGCAGCCGTCTTTCCATCAGGACAGCAACCATACCTGGTACCAGCGCATCCACCAATCAAGCAAATTTTGCCATTTTCATCAGCAGCTGTCTTCCCATCAGGACAGCAACCATACCTGGTACCCTTACATCCACCAATCAAGCAATTTTTTTTATTTTTTCCAGCAGCCGTCTTTCCATCAGGACAGCAACCATACCTGGTACCAGCACATCCACCAACTTTAATGTTAGGGCAGCCTTTATTATTAGGTCCTCTTGCAGCTGTCTTTCCATCAGGACAACAGCCATATTGTGTACCAGCACATCCACCAATCAAGCAATTTTTGCCATTTTCATCAGCAGCTATGTTCTCATCAGGACAACACCCATATCTTGATACTATACATCCCTTTAAATCTAATTTTGGAAATAGAATGTAACAGTAACTTTAATAATTGAAACATTTTATTTAAAGTCTAGGTTAAACTGACATGTTCCTCGCCCCAACGCCAACATTGGGATGTGATGCTGATTATTTGGCCATACAAACTAGAGATTAAATATGTGAGGATGATTATTTGGCCATACAAACTAGAGATTAAATATGTGAGGATGATTATTTGGCCATACAAACTAGAGATTAAATATGTGAGGCTGATTATTTGGCCATACAAACTAGAGATTAAATATGTGAGGATGATTATTTGGCCATACAAACTAGAGATTAAATATGTGAGGCTGATTATTTGGCCATACAAACTACAGATTAAATATGTGAGGATGATTATTTGGCCATACAAACTAGAGATTAAATATGTGACGATGATTATTTGGCCATACAAACTAGAGATTAAATATGTGAGGCTGATTATTTGGCCATACAAACTAGAGATTAAATATGTGAGGCTGATTATTTGGCCATACAAACTACAGATTAAATATGTGAGGCTGATTATTTGGCCATACAAACTACAGATTAAATATGTGAGGCTGATTATTTGGCCATACAAACTAGAGATTAAATATGTGAGGCTGATTATTTGGCCATACAAACTAGAGATTAAATATGTGAGGCTGATTATTTGGCCATACAAACTACAGATTAAATATGTGAGGCTGATTATTTGGCCATACAAACTACAGATTAAATATGTGAGGATGATTATTTGGCCATACAAACTACAGATTAAATATGTGAGGATGATTATTTGGCCATACAAACTAGAGATTAAATAAGTGAGGCTGATTATTTGGCCATACAAACTAGAGATTAAATATGTGAGGATGATTATTTGGCCATACAAACTACAGATTAAATATGTGAGGCTGATTATTTGGCCATACAAACTACAGATTAAATATGTGACGATGATTATATGGCCATACAAACTACAGATTAAATATGTGAGGCTGATTATTTTCCCATACAAACTACAGATTAAATATGTGAGGCTGATTATTTGGCCATACAAACTACAGATTAAATATGTGACGATGATTATTTTGCCATACAAACTACAGATTAAATATGTGAGGCTGATTATTTGGCCATACAAACTACAGATTAAATATGAGACTAACTCAGTGGCTTAAGCAAGGGGGGGGGGGAGGGTTTACAACTTTTACTATCATAATACCACATAATACAAACTAAGGAATCGCATTAAATATAAGAGACTTGCTAATGGGTATACAAACTAAAACAATTGCATTAAATAATAAATATGATACTAATTATTGGCTATGAAAATTAACAGTAGTAACCTTCTTCATTAATTAATTAAAATGTTGAGTTGCTTTTTACTTTATCGTATACGAGAATTCGTATTTGAAGTTTGAAAATGATTCATATTTTAAGTTAGATAGAAAGTGACTAACTGGGATTTTGTCCAGCAACGGTCATTGCATGACCTGCGAGAAGAGCTAAGTAGACGAACATTTTTGTCGCGGGTTTTAACATCAATGTAGCATCTGTAAAGGATTAAACAGAGCGTTAAACAACACTTTTACTACCATATCTAGTATCATGTAAACATTGTATCTCGTCCGGGTGCTGTCATAAATAAATAAATTAATTAAAAAAAAATATAACCGTATGTATATATATATATATATATAATATATATATATATATATATATATATATATATATATATATATATATATATATATATATATATATATATATATATATATATATATATATATATATATATATATATATATGTGTATATGTATAACATGGCGCTGAAGTGGAACCCAACCGGAAAGAGAAATAGAGGAAGACCACTGGGAACATGGAGGAGGGAGATGGAAGAAGAAGTACAGGCTACTGGCAAAACCTGGCATGAACTAAAGTGGCTCGCCCAGGACAGGGTGGAATGGCGGAGATTTGTTGTTGCCCTATACTCCACAGGGAGTAATGAGGATTAAGTAAGTATATATATATGTATATATATATATATATATATATATATATATATATATATATATATATATATGTATATATATATATATATATATATATTACATCTATAAACGCAAAGTGGGTAGTGTTGGGTTTGTTACTCAGGTGCGCGGACCTTTGACCACAGGTGCTTTGGCCAATAGGGGTTTGACCATAGGTGGTTTGACCAACGAACATTTTACATTTAAAAAATCAAAATGGATTTTGTGCCCCTAATCAAAGCTATAAAGAAGCAAAAGTCGTCTTATTATCTAGCGGCCTCTTGCGCCATGGACTTATTTTCAAAAGACTTTTGCCGACAATAGCGCGTCTTTGATTGTTGGGGAAAGTGGACTCGGGATAGTGTCTATAGATGATCCAACCGCAGCTACAATAGTCGTTTTACAAAACAACCATCAATTCAAAAATGCAAGAAAATTATTTTTTTAATTAAACAAAATTGATTATTGTCGACTGTGGGCCCCTAAACTGCCCGGGCCCAACCCCCCCCCCCCTCATGGCGGGGTCTGGCGGCACTTACTTCCACCCCCTGATCGTATCCTTACCCTTATGATCAAACTGACATATTTTTGTACATCATGAAAGCCTTAAATTTTAATTTAAAAAAATAAATTCTTAAACAGCACACATGACAGTGTAAGTGATGCTTAATGAGCAAATAAGTCACGGCCTTAACAAGTATCTTTTACCAGAAATACAAGTGCCGGGCCGGTACGGCTAATAAATAAATAAATATACATATATATATATATATATATATATATATATATATATATATATATATATATATATATATATATACATATATATACATATACATATACATATACATATACATATACATATACATATACGTATATACATATATATATATATATATATATATATATATATATATATATATATATATATACATATATATATATATATATATATATATATTTGACTGCCTCGTTTACCTCATATTTAAGTCTTGCTCATTGTACAATAAAAAGTTGTATGAATATGTAATATATATTTTTATAATGTTTTATGACAAGGTGTTACACAAAAAATTAATGGGTAAATGAGTTATTTAAATTGTTTCTAGAATCAAAATGGTTACTGTAAAACAAATCTACATACACGTTACATAGATCTTTATATTTAATAACACTACTGTAAAACAAAACTACATACAAGTTATATAGATCTTTATATTTACCAAAACTACTGTAAAACAAATCTACATACAAGTTACATAGATCTTTATATTCACCAACACTGCTGTAAAACAAACCTACATACAAGTTATATAGATCTTTATATTTACCAAAACTGCTGTAAAACAAACCTACATACATACATGTTATATAGATCTTTACCAAAGCCCTAGACTTAAGAGTGCCAACCAGGCAGGGTCAAGTTTTATATCTGGACAGATATTGATGTTAATTAACATCTGTGGCAAGACATAGAGAAAATTAAATTGTGAAATGGATGAATCCGTGATTGTTTAATTAAAAAAATATTATAAGTTGATATATGTATACTGTAAAAACATCAACCGAGAACATAAACGTCAATCAAAGTTTGTTGTTCGATCATACTTAAATTAAACAATATTGGTAGAGGGCAATTAAGGTGGAAGCCAGAGGCCCTGGTGTTTTTAGGGTTACCCTAATTGTCATTTACAAACGATGATAAATTATGTTTTATATCGAAGTTTTAGTTAAATGGTCGTGCGATTCTAAAAATCTAATTTCTCCATTCCAGGTTGGCTAAATATTCTTTAGGCTGGCCATCTCAATTCCAGGTTGGTTAAATATACTCTAGTTTGGCCATCTCAATTCCGGGTTGGTTAAATATACTCTAGTCTGGCCAATTCCAGGTTGGTTAAATATACTCTAGTTTGGCCATCTCAATTCCGGGTTGGTTAAATATACTGTAGTCTGGCCATCTCAATTCCAGGTTGGTTAAATATAATCTAGTTTGGCCATCTCAATTCCGGGTTGGTTAAATATACTCTAGTCTGTCCATCTTAATTCCAGGTTGGTTAAATATACTGTAGTCTGGCCATCTCAATTCCAGGTTGGTTAAATATACTCTAGTCTGGCCATCTCAATTCCGGGTTGGTTAAATATACTCTAGTCTGTCCATCTTAATTCCAGGTTGGTTAAATATACTCTAGTTTGGCCATCTCAATTCCGGGTTGGTTAAATATACTCTAGTTTCGCCATCTTAATTCCGGGTTGGTTAAATATACTCTAGTTTGGCCATCTCAATTCCGGGTTGGTTAAATATACTCTAGTCTGGCCATCTCAATTCCAGGTTGGTTAAATATACTCTAGTTTGGCCATCTCAATTCCGGGTTGGTTAAATATACTCTAGTTTGGCCATCTCAATTCCGGGTTGGTTAAATATACTCTAGTCTAGCCATCTCCATTCCGGGTTGGTTAAATATACTCTAGGCTAGCCATCTCAATTCCGGGTTGGTTAAATATACTCTAGTCTGTCCATCTCAATTCCGGGTTGGTTAAATATACTCTAGGTTGGCCATCGCAATCATCCCCACTGTAAGCTGGCCATCTCAATCATCCCCACTGTAAGCTGGCCATCGCAATCATCCCCACTTTAAGCTGGCCATCTCAAACATCCCCACTTTAATCTGGCCATCTCAATCATCTCCACTGTAAGCTGGCCATCTCAATCATCTCCACTTTAAGCTGGCCATCTCAATCATCCCCACTTTAAGCTGGCCATCTCAATCATCCCCACTGTAAGCTGGCCATCTCAATCATCCCCACTTTAAGCTGGCCATCTCAATCATCCCCACTGTAAGCTGGCCATCTCAAACATCCCCACTTTAAGCTGGCCATCGAATTATCATCCCCACTTTAAGCTGGCCATCTCAATCATCCCCACTGTAAGCTGGCCATCTCAATCATCTCCACTGTAAGCTGGCCATCTCAATAATCTCCACTGTAAGCTGGCCATCTCAATCATCCCCACTGTAAGCTGGCCATCTCAATCATCTCCACTGTAAGCTGGCCATCTCAATCATCCCCACTGTAAGCTGGCCATCTCAATCATCTCCACTGTAAGCTGGCCATCTCAATCATCCCCACTGTAAGCTGGCCATCTCAATCATCTCCACTGTAAGCTGGCCATCTCAATCATCCCCACTGTAAGCTGGCCATCGCAATCATCCCCACTTTAAGCTGGCCATCTCAAACATCCCCACTTTAAGCTGGCCATCTCAATCATCCCCACTGTAAGCTGGCCATCTCAATCATCCCCACTTTAAGCTGGCCATCTCAAACATCCCCACTTTAAGCTGGCCATCTCAATCATCCCCACTGTAAGCTGGCCATCTCAATCATCCCCACTGTAAGCTGGCCATCTCAATCATCCCCACTGTAAGCTGGCCATCTCAATCATCTCCACTGTAAGCTGGCCATCTCAATCATCCCCACTGTAAGCTGGCCATCTCAATCATCTCCACTGTAAGCTGGCCATCTCAATCATCTCCACTGTAAGCTGGCCATCTCAATCATCTCCACTGTAAGCTGGCCATCTCAATCATCTCCACTGTAAGCTGGCCATCTCAATCATCTCCACTGTAAGCTGGCCATCTCAATCATCTCCACTGTAAGCTGGCCATCTCAATCATCCCCACTGTAAGCTGGCCATCTCAATCATCTCCACTGTAAGCTGGCCATCTCAATCATCCCCACTGTAAGCTGGCCATCTCAATCATCCCCACTGTAAGCTGGCCATCTCAATCATCTCCACTGTAAGCTGGCCATCTCAATCATCCCCACTGTAAGCTGGCCATCTCAATCATCCCCACTGTAAGCTGGCCATCTCAATCATCTCCACTGTAAGCTGGCCATCTCAATCATCCCCACTGTAAGCTGGCCATCTCAATCATCCCCACTGTAAGCTGGCCATCGCAATCATCCCCACTGTAAGCTGGCCATCGCAATCATCCCCACTTTAAGCTGGCCATCTCAAACATCCCCACTTTAAGCTGGCCATCTCAATCATCCCCACTTTAAGCTGGCCATCTCAATCATCCCCACTGTAAGCTGGCCATCTCAATCATCCCCACTGTAAGCTGGCCATCTCAATCATCCCCACTGTAAGCTGGCCATCGCAATCATCTCCACTGTAAGCTGGCCATCTCAATCATCCCCACTGTAAGCTGGCCATCTCAATCATCTCCACTGTAAGCTGGCCATCTCAATCATCTCCACTGTAAGCTGGCCATCTCAATCATCTCCACTGTAAGCTGGCCATCTCAATCATCTCCACTGTAAGCTGGCCATCTCAATCATCTCCACTGTAAGCTGGCCATCTCAATCATCTCCACTGTAAGCTGGCCATCTCAATCATCCCCACTGTAAGCTGGCCATCTCAATCATCCCCACTGTAAGCTGGCCATCTCAATCATCCCCACTGTAAGCTGGCCATCTCAATCATCTCCACTGTAAGCTGGCCATCTCAATCATCCCCACTGTAAGCTGGCCATCTCAATCATCCCCACTGTAAGCTGGCCATCGCAATCATCCCCACTTTAAGCTGGCCATCTCAAACATCCCCACTTTAAGCTGGCCATCTCAATCATCCCCACTGTAAGCTGGCCATCGCAATCATCCCCACTTTAAGCTGGCCATCTCAATCATCTCCACTGTAAGCTGGCCATCTCAATCATCCCCACTGTAAGCTGGCCATCTCAATCATCCCCACTGTAAGCTGGCCATCGCAATCATCCCCACTTTAAGCTGGCCATCTCAATCATCTCCACTGTAAGCTGGCCATCTCAATCATCCCCACTGTAAGCTGGCCATCGCAATCATCCCCACTTTAAGCTGGCCATCTCAATCATCTCCACTGTAAGCTGGCCATCTCAAACATCCCCACTTTAAGCTGGCCATCTCAATCATCTCCACTGTAAGCTGGCCATCTCAATCATCCCCACTGTAAGCTGGCCATCTCAATCATCCCCACTTTAATCTGGCCATCTCAATCATCCCCACTTTAATCTGGCCATCTCAATCATCCCCACTTTAATCTGGCCATCTCAATCATCCCCACTTTAAGCTGGCCATGTTGAAGATAATGAATGCTCCTGTACTGCAATATATTTCACCAATGACCTTGTATTGTTTACCATCAAAATACCATCAGTCCTACAACATAAAGTGATGTTTGAAGTCTAATTACTCTTGTAACACCTGTTAAACTTCAAATATTTTACATATGTTCTGGTCATGTAGTTCTCAACCTTTTTAAGGCTACCGAACCCCACCAGTTGCATATGGGCATTCACCGAACCCCACTAGTTGCATATGCGCATTCACCGAACCCCACCAGTTTCATATGGGCATTCACCGAACCCCAAAAGTTTCATATGCGCATTCACCGAACCCCACCAGTTTCATATTGGCATTCACTGAACCGCACCAGTTTCATATGGGCATTCACCGAACCCCACCAGTTTCATATGCGCATTCACCGAACCCCACCAGTTTCATATGGGCATTCACCGAACCCCAAAAGTTTCATATGCGCATTCACCGAACCCCACCAGTTTCATATTGGCATTCACTGAACCCCACCAGTTTCATATGGGCATTCACCGAACCCCACCAGTTTCATATGCGCATTCACCGAACCCCACCAGTTTCATATGGGCATTCACCGAACCCCAAAAGTTTCATATGCGCATTCACCGAACCCCACCAGTTTCATATTGGCATTCACTGAACCCCACCAGTTTCGTATGGGCATTCACCGAACCCCACCAGTTTCATATGCGCATTCACCGAACCCCACCAGTTTCATATGCGCATTCACCGAACCCCACCAGTTTCATGAGTCGGGTGTGTGTCTTGACCTCTGAACCCCCGAGACTGACTCACATAGGGTTCGATCGAGCCCAGGTTAAGAACCCCTGTTCTAGTTAATTGTTAATGACGACTCAAGCGGAATTAATTTAAAACGACCAGGGATGGGAATTTAAAAGTCTAACATAACATAACAGATAAACACTTTTAAATTGCTGTTTAAAAAAAATGAATCCCTCGATTTTAAACGTTGTCAAAACGTTAACAACAAAAAACTACGCCACATTGGGTCTTGCACTGTTTATAAAATGGACCAAAATTATTATCTAATGTTTGAAATTCTCTTCAGTAAAAATGTTAATATTAATTCTTTAGTGTTATTTTGTTTAATGTTATATGTGGTTTTTTTTTTGTATTTGATTGCTTTTTTAATGTTCAAAGGTTACATCCCTTGTTTGGTATGCAAACTTGTGGATAAGGTGGAAGAAAGTGAAGAAATGAAGTAAGTCAGTGGATACAGAAGTAGGGTAAAAGTGAAGTAATGAAGTAAGTCAGTGGATACAGAAGTAGGGTAAAAGGTAAGTTAGCAGAGAGATGCAGAATTGAGAAGCAACTGTAATCAAGTTTGATGAAAAGAATTGTTTGAAAACAGAAATGGAAGCAATGTCTAGCTGAGATTATCTCTAACTCTAAATTTACATTTAAAGTTGTCTGAGATCCTCTGTAGTTTTACAGTTAGTTGTCTGAAACTGTACACATAAAAAAATGAATAATATTGCTGAAGTTAGCATTGGGTACACTTCTCAATTTAGTTGGGCATTTAACACTCTTACACACTCCTAACCTGAAAGTCTCGATTCCACCCAGCTCTGATGGGTACCTGACTCAGGTCCACCAAGCTCTGATGTGTACCTGACTCTAGTCCACCCAGCTCTGATGGGTACCTGGCTCTAGTCCATCCAGCTCTGATGGGTACCTGACTCTAGTCCACCCAGCTCTGATGTGTATCTGACTCTAGTCCACCCAGCTCTGATGGGTACCTGACTCTAGTCCACCCAGCTCTGATGTGTATCTGACTCTAGTCCACCCAGCTCTGATGGGTACCTGACTCTAGTCCACCCAACTCTGATGTGTACCTGACTCTAGTCCACCCAGCTCTGATGGGTACCTGACTCTAGTCCACCCAACTCTGATGGGTACCTGACTCTAGTCCACCCAACTCTGATGGGTACCTGACTCTAGTCCACCCAGCTCTGATGTGTATCTGACTCTAGTCCACCCAGCTCTGATGGGTACCTGACTCTAGTCCACCCAATTCTGATGGGTACCTGACTCTAGTCCACCCAGCTCTGATGGGTACCTGACTCTAGTCCACCCAGCTCTGATGGGTACCTGACTCTAGTCCACCCAGCTCTGATGTGTATCTGACTCTAGTCCACCCAGCTCTGATGGGTACCTGACTCTAGTCCACCCAACTCTGATGTGTACCTGACTCTAGTCCACCCAGCTCTGATGGGTACCTGACTCTAGTCCACCCAGCTTTGATGTGTACCTGACTCTAGTCCACCCAGCTCTGATGTGTACCTGACTCTAGTCCACCCAGCTTTGTTGGGTACCTGACTCTAGTCCACCCAGCTCTGATGGGTACCTGACTCTAGTCCACCCAGCTCTGATGGCAAGTGAAAGTAAGAAGATGATAACATTTTTGCACATGCTGATGGTGATCTTGTTATGGCCAGGCCCCGGCCGGGACGGCTAGTATTGTTTTGTATTGTATATGTAAATTTACACTAAGAGACTCTACATTTTTACTGTGTTTACTGAAACTAGTTGTGCTTCATAGGTTTCATGGCGGGTAATTAAACGTTTAGCTATTGCAGTTTAGTTGTAGTAATATAATATACGATTGTAATGTTTACTGTGAATAAAGATTGAAGTTACGTGATATATACATTTTAATAGTGTGATATTTGATGAAGAGTTGTAGAGTGATATAACTTGAAATAAAGTGATAAGAGTGATATAAGATAAAGTGTTGTAGTGTGATATAAGATGAAGTTTTGTAGAGTGGAATATTTAAGAAATAAAAATAATGTTTTGCTAACCAGAAAGTCCTGTAAAGTTATATCTGTATTTTTTTTTACCTAGCCACAGTCCTGAGGTACAACCCATTAATATTCGAAAACGAAACAGCATCTAATGACAACAGTAGCAGAATAGGTAATTTGTGTTCGGATAATTTAATGACACTAGTAGTAGAATAGGAAACTGTGTTCGTATTTAATGACACCAGTTGCAGAGTACATACCATATGTATTTCATATGTTTTTAGAATGTGTATATAATATTTGTGTATAACATGTGTATTGCATGTAGATATAAAAAAGGTAATAGAGTGTTCGTCACACATGTGTGTACAGCATGTATATATGCGCTATGCAGTGGCGTAGGCAGGGGGGGGGTTAGGGGGGTCATACATAGACCCCTTGGTATATATATATATATATATATATATATATATATATATATATAAAGTATGACGGGGGGTGCAAATCAAAAGTCTGAGAGGGGGGGTGCAAATCGAAAGCTTGTCCCCGGCTAAAAATTGGACCCCCCCCCTTGAGACCATCCTGGCTACGCCACTGGCACTATGTAATATAATGCGTGTAACATATGAACAATATGTGTGTATAAGATGTGTGTACAGCATGTGTGTAAGCTTACAGTATGTGCCACACTCTACAGCCTGCAGCGCTGCAGTGGACATCGTGTTTCTGATCGAATCCTCCGAGCACGTGAAAGGCCGCGAGAACTTCACCCAGATGCTGTGGTTCGCCTCCAACATCTCCCACAGTTTCCTCATCAGCCCTGACTACGTCCTTGTGGCCGGTGTGGTGTTCAGTGATGTGGCCAGCAAGATGTTTGACCTCAAGGACCACAGGGACAAAGATAACGTTCAGTCGGTTCGTCTCGTTTATATTTTAACACAGACAGAGTTTGATGATAAATAAAATACTAATCATGCAATAAGCAGCAACTTTATGCTATGTATATATATATATAATTCTCTACTGGGAGACGTTAGAAAGCAAGCTGCAAGCGCGACTTGCAGTCCCCTCTCTTCCTCTCTATCGCTACCACCCCCCCCCCAACCTCACATGGTCTAGTGAGCTGTGGTTCACGCTAGATGTTTACATTTTACAATCCTGGAGCCGGATTTGGTGACGGCTATTAGGGGCAGATAATTTAGTTTGAAACGATTTTATACTTAGAGGAGGTAACTAAGGTGAGGCTGCTTTCACGGGGGGAGGAGACGGGGAAGGGGGGGGGGGTAGTGTTTTAAAGCAAACCATTTTCAGTGGCAGCATTGTAACTGTCGAATTCACAAATTATGAATTACTGAAAAGTAGAAAATAAAACAACTAAATAACGGCGTATGATACGCCGCGGGTCGACTCGTATAATATAATGTAACTTAGTTTTCTGACCCTGGTAATCTATTTGACTGTCACGTGTCGCCCGTCCTGTTTTGTAGGCTCTACTGAACAGTCCTTATATGGAGCGAGAGAGCAGGACAGACGAGGCACTGAGCCTGGTGGAGCAAGGCGAAATGTTTGGTCTATAGGCCGGTGGTCGCTACAACGCTGCCAGACTTGTCATTGTCATCATGGCCGGCTCCTCGAGCAGGCCGGACAAAGGTCAGCTATAGAGGTCACTCACGTCTGACAAAGGTCAGCTATAGAGGTCACTCACGTCTGACAAAGGTCAGCTATAGAGGTCACATACGTCTGACAAAGGTCAGCTATAGAGGTCACTCACGTCTGACAAAGGTCAGCTATAGAGGTCACTCACGTCTGACAAAGGTCAGCTATAGAGGTCACTCACGTCTGACAAAGGTCAGCTATAGAGGTCACTCACGTCTGACAAAGGTCAGCTATAGAGGTCACTCACGTCTGACAAAGGTCAGCTATAGAGGTCACTCACGTCTGACAAAGGTCAGCTATAGAGGTCACATACGTCTGACAAAGGTCAGCTATAGAGGTCACTCACGTCTGACAAAGGTCAGCTATAGAGGTCACTCACGTCTGACAAAGGTCAGCTATAGAGGTCACTCACGTCTGACAAAGGTCAGCTATAGAGGTCACTCACGTCTGACAAAGGTCAGCTATAGAGGTCACTCACGTCTGACAAAGGTCAGCTATACAGGTCACTCACGTCTCACAAAGGTCAGCTATAGAGGTCACTTACGTCTGACAAAGGTCAGCTATACAGGTCACTCACGTCTGACAAAGGTCAGCTATAGAGGTCACTCACGTCTGACAAAGGTCAGCTATAGAGGTCACTCACGTCTGACAAAGATCAGCTATAGAGGTCACTCACGTCTGACAAAGGTCAGCTATAGAGGTCACTCAGACAAAGGTCAGCTATAAAGGTCACTCACGTCTGACAAAGGTCAGCAATAGAGGTCACTCACGTCTGACAAAGATAGCCACTCTGGGGGGCAAACGGCACCGCCTTACTGCCGGGGGGGGGAGGGCTGAGGGTGCCCTCAGAAATAAAACAAAAACGTAATGCCAGAAACCTCCCCAAAAGTCAGAGTTACTTTCAGGAAAAATGTCTGGAAAAAAAAAACCCACTTCCTTTGGCGTATTTTCACCGATTTCTCAAAGTTTCTTTGCGATTGGATGAAAACCAAAAACGTATAGTGTTAATAGCGCCATATTGATTAAATATTAATTAGATCAACAAATGAAATGTCATTAACGTGAAGATATAGTGATGTTATTAAGGATGGGCCTATTTTACCCCCCCCCCCCCCACACTGAATCCCACTACTTGTAAAGTACGAAAGGACTGGGGGCCTTTTTTGGAACTTTTAATTATTTCTACGATAGAAAAGAAACGGAATTTTTATTTAATTTTAACAATTATTTATATAAAAAAAAAATATTAAAATTTCAACGTAAAAAGTGTTAATTTTTTAAGAGCGAAAAGGGGCCCTAAATGCCATGGGCCCCTATACCTTGCTTACGCTAGCTTTACGGTAGCTACGCCACTGCTCATATCTTTACCGTAACTAAAGACTAAATGATGGTAAACAAAACAGATATAAAAGTCCTACTATTGCAATGCACTAAAAATAAGAAACTGGTAAAAATTAAAATCATTAGTGGTTGTAACAATCTTTGGGACACGATAGTTTTTTTTTAATGTGTTAATGTAGCTGAAAAAAGTAATCGTTTTTATAGGTTTTAATGCATTTAGAAGACACGTTATTAAGATGGTTTTACACAAGTTTTATTTCCACGTTTTCTTTAACTTGCTTTCTCTGTTTATTTGTTTGTCTTTCCAATCAAATCTTGCGATCGAAATTTCTGGCACTTCCCAGTTAGCTAGCGCGCTGAAATTTTCAGGGAAGCTTTCTTTTGGATGACCATAGAATATGCAATTGTTATTATTACTAAATTGATCAATGGAAACATTTTATTGAGCATTTTAGACCGCTATATAATCTATATATATAATTCTCTTCTGCGAGCCATTAGAAAAAAAACCAGCGACGCGTAGCTCGCGCGCAGTGAAGCGAACGATCCCACGACGCGACAGGCTTAGGGGCAGATAATTTAGTTTGAACCGACTTAAAACTTACAGGAGGTAACTATTACCACTGGTGGCCAGTTTTGGGGAGACGATATGGTCGAGTGGTTGGACACACGATTGCTATCCCACTCGACACGGGTTCAAATCTATGTGTTCTAGTCAGTAACCAGCCCTCGTCCTAACCGCTATCAACTAACCTCTGACAATCATTCACTTGCGATTGAGACCGAAGAAGAAAGGGTCTATCGTTTTTTACGAGTTGTCTTTTTACGAGTTGTCTTCGTTTACCCAAAAAAAAGTGAAAAGATAAAATCGATAGCAAGATTTCAATGCAAACAAACAGACAAAGACTAAAAAGTAGAAAATAATAATCATTAAAAAAGTTTCAGGCGCCCTGTTTTTCTTACAGTTTCTAATACTGTTGACTCTCTACAAGCTCCCTAATAAAAGTCAATAGTATTATCTAATCAATAGTAATATAACTTTTACTTCGGCGCCCCACGTTTTTCATCGCTTATAGTAGAGTGATCGCTTGCATTATTTTGATGTATAACATTTATTTTCTTCTTTTTAGTTCAATCAGAAAACGTGGGTTTTTTAAAACTTTTTTAATGATTATTATTTTTCGTTTAGATATAATTAGGGAGAAAAGATAAAAATACATTCCTTTACCAAATAGAAGAAATGTACTGCTTAATTCCCTTGTAAATGTTGAACTTTTGTTTTACAGGTGTTCTTGATTAGCATGAGTTGCCTCCCCTCGCAGAGCTATTTGAACTGTTTGATACATAAGTAAAACCAAACCCAAGTATCAAGAACAGTTGTATCTAGAGGCCGATATCTATAGCGTGGTTTGATTCGTTCGTATTTCTTCTGGGCATGGACTGGCTACATGAAAACAATATATGTGTATGGCTGAGTGGTGTGGGGGGGGGGGAGTATTGACTCGTGTGATGTATAATAATATTAGATATTATTTGATGGAATAAAATGGCATTTGTTAAAGTGTTTACGAATACTTGGGAAATAGTATAGTTAGGTAAAAACAAACTACAGCTAGCTAACAAGGCAATTAAACTAATCTACCAGGTAATTAAAGCTAATTAACTACTGAATATAGCTAGCTAACCAGGTAATTTTAGCTAGCCAACCAGTGAATATAACTGGTCAACGCAATGAATATAGTTAGCCAACCAAGTAATTATCGCTAGCGAACCTGTTGAATATAGAGAGCCAACAAGTGAATTAAACCTAATTAGATTACCACAAGAAACAGATGTTTGACTGTGTCCACACGTCAATAGAATGAGTCACATCAAAACACCTGACGTTCCAATTTGTCATTAGCCAGAAGTTTCTAGAAAAGACCATCTGCCAATTTCAAAAGACAATTTCGACATATTGAGTGACATCGGGGATAGAATGGGGGTCTCACTTAATTGATCCTTTTTTTTTGTTCATTTTACGAATAGTGTTTCTGTTGGCTACATGGTAAAACAAGGTGGGCTCAATTTTTCAAAGCAAGTTATTTAACATTTGAAGGTTCTAGTGTTATGACGATTTCAAGCGATCTTTTTAGGCCAATTTAAGTGTATAACTTTATTTGACCATACATTTTAATGTTATGTTAATTTGGAACGATCAATAAATATACACGTGTATCAATATCAAGATTTGAAAGTAAAGAATCTTTATCGATCTTCGTCAATCATACACGTTTGAGGTTAAATACGACGACAAACACACAAATATACAAACACACAAACATACACTCTAGGGTAACGAAAATTTACTGGAAGCTACTTAAAAACCCAGTAAAGCGTAACAAACCTACATGGGCCATCACATGACATTAAGACAGTCAGACAGACATACATGGGTCATCACATGACATTAAGACAGTCAGACAGACATACATGGGTCATCACATGACATTAAAAAAATCAGACAAACATACTTGGGTCATCACATGACATTAAGACAGTCAGACAAACATTTAGACAGTCAGACAAACATACATAGGTCATCACATGACATAACAAGCAAATGTTCTGTTAAAATGTGTCATTCTTCAAAATTTGATTAAATAAAATGTTTACATCCGATGCAGCCGTTGATACAAAAGTGTTGCCTCCAGCCAAACTCATGCATGCACGATACTAATACAGCTCATTAACTGGTTTACCTCTAGACTTCACTTGTTTTGATCCAGCAATGGTTGCTGTTGTGAAGTATCCATACCACCAAACACTAACGACCCACAGGGATCTCTGAAAACACGGCTGACTAAAGCCATTATCAGTCGCGCCTATGTAATGAGTTTCAACTTTTAACAGATGTCCGTGTCAGCAGTTTGGTAAACTTTAGATAGCTAGCGCTTGTAGCAATAGAAGATAGAAGAGTAGACCATTCAATGTTCACAAAAAACGAGGATGAGAAAAAAAAAACATAATACAGATCCTTCATACTGGGATTATCCACATAGTGTAATAATATTTATTTATTAGGATAATTATATACATATATATATATATATATATATATATATATATATATATATATATATATATATATATATATATATATATATATATATATATATATATATATATACTAGGCATACTGCCTAGCTTCGCTTAGGTTTTCAAAAAAAAATTGAGGAATTGAATGATTAATTAATAGGTGATTGGCTGCTTAGGGCCTAAATTTATACAGTGGAGTGATTTCATATCACTCAGGTATTGATGGAATATTCGCAAACTTATTACTCGCACGGTTATTAGAACTGCAAGGGGTTTCTTAATAGTATCAATCAAATATTATAATAAATTACTTTCGCAATTAATTTTTACAATTTCAGTACAATGCAAAACTTAATTTGTAACAAAATATTTATTTAAAACAATGCTATACTTTATGATTTTTGTTTTTTTTCTTAAAAAGAGTATACAAAATATTTAAAAAATATTACATTAAAAAGCTACCACCCCTGTTCATAGACCAAATGACCAAATCTCGTATAATGAGATTTTCACTCGCGGTCATTTTTAGCCCTCTTAGAGGGCTTTAAGTCTGACCAGTTTTTTTTCCA